TGCTAATAATGCCATACTAATGAGAATGAAGAGAATATAGACAAAGCAGATTTAGAATAACCTTTACCAACATTGTTTAGGTTCAATCATAATAATAATAATCAAAGACGGCTTCCCAAGTCGACGAAATAACGCAGGGGCAGATCTCACAGAGCAAAGCGGTATTCAACGAACGGCAGGTGAAGCCTTGGTCTCGAGAGCAACCAAACGCATTAACAAGTTAGCTAAGGGGAAAAAAGGCATCGTAACAGCCTGGAGGAAAGTCAACAGCGTTAGCCCTTCAACACTTGCTTCCCGGCCTTTGCATAATTTGGTAGCCCCTCGTCCGTTTCCCGACAAACCCCAAATGTTCATGGACTGGCTCATGGCCTAGTTTTGATACAGCGCAGTTATCCATTGCCCCATCGCACCTACAGACCTTAAAAGTCCTTAAAAGTATTTCATTTTCGGGACCGCAATTCATAACCTTGGCTAATGTGGATTCGGATATTTCGGGCTTTGACAAAACGGCCTTCAAAAATAAAGCTTGCCCGGGTTGTTTATGGTGTAACAGGCTGTTTGGGTATCTAGGGGCACGCCACCCTCCCCCGGCTCCCGAGGAGGTATTTTTAAGCACACTCTCATGGGCATATAACTGGGTGATGGCGACTATGAGTCTGACTCACCTGGCTCTCTTCATGCCTTATTTGGCCTCTTCCTCCATACCCTTATTATATTAATTATTGTCAAATGTCGGCACAGCCATTACACGGCCTGTCGGTCTCGCGTTAATCATTTTCTCTGACACTTGGAAGAACCTTCCGACACTTCGCTCTCATCTGTCTTACACCGTGCATGACAAACTTCGTAATTTCATTAAAATAAAAATAATAGTAATTTTGATATCCGCCACTGCCAAAGGAATTTTTCGAGTTGTAATACTTCGGGTTAGCTATATACGAAGAAAATGCATTAAATTGATAGCGATTGTTACAAGCAAAATGCCTGAGATGAACAAACCGTCTCTTCTGAGTACGTAAGTGCTATCATGCATGAATGATCATCATATGACTTTTAGATGGATAAAAGAATGAAATGAAAACATAAAAGATGTGAGTTTTCCCAATATAAGAATCTGGTGCCGAATCGTTTACAAAGAGTAAATATGTACATTCTAATAAGAATGGACTCGAACTGTCTGAAGCGTTCGGTTTTGCTAAAGAAAGGAAATGAATCTGAATCCGACCATAATCTTTCTTTGATCTATCCTTGCGTATGGACGTTTTCAGATTTTTATAAATCTAAAGGGAAAACTTTCAGATTCTGAGTCGGCCGAGGGATAATAATGATTTTGTCTTAAAAGCATCCGTATCATTCTCTTAAAATGATGACGAAAAAGAGAATTTCTCATTTCCAATCTTTAAACAGTTGTTTTGCTTCTCAACATCAACTAGGTAAAGCTTTCGGAAGATGTGAAGTAAGTTCTTCCTGGCATATAACTGTGAATACTGGTACATGTCAGAGCAAAATTGTGTAGTGCAGCTTTTGTTATTAACTAAGTACATTTCAGATGTGCAGAAGCTGTATAAGAATGTATATATCTGTTTGATTAGCGTTATTGTATACATAATGCTGAACATTTTGTGATTAGTGTAGCTGTGGGTGTGAAAGTTCAGCATCAGGCATAGAATACCTTGTGATTAGTGTAATAAGGAATGGACAAAATACTTTGTAATTAGTGTAGCTGTGTGTGAAAGTACAGTATCAATGCATAGTGTTTTATGATTAGTGTGGCTGTGAGTGTGGACGTGCAGCATCGAGGCATAGAGTGCTTTGTGATTAGTGTGGCCGTGAGTGTGCGGTCTAGTTCTGTCGTCTTGGTTAGGTTTAGAAGACAGAAGGAAATCAAATAAGCAGCGGTACAAGAGCAGCCTTCTTTCCGGCTCGCGCTTTGCAGCATCAAGAAGATAAGTACCGTAGAAGGACATCTTGGTCCGGAAGTCACCCGTCTCCTTGCTCTCCATCTCTCCCTCCTCCTTCCTCTCTCTCACTTTTATCGGTCTCTCTCCTCTGCTCCTCCTATCAACCCTCTTCCAGCCACTCCAGACGATGAACTGCCTCCCGCTTTCCCCTCGCGCTGCCGGGCTTCGGTGGGCGGGCCGACGGGAAGGCCAACCACGCCTCGGAGTCCAATATGGGCGGTGACTCACTTCACCCTATGCCAATTGAACGCCTTCCAGGGTATTCCATTTTTAAATAGTTTTGGTCACGCGTAGCTCACCACCATGAATAAAGTATCGAAGTGAACGGGCATCGAAACACGTGCTCCCGCCTGAAGAAGCACCGTCTTGGCGGACAGAAAGAAGTCGCAAAAGAAATCGCACGTATAAACTGGCGTTTCCCGATTAAAGAGGATCCTTTGGCATTTCCTAAAAGCATGTATAGAAAATAAATTAAAACATTCTGTCTGCCTGGCATAAACAAGACTACGACCATGTTTTGGCATCAGTCACAAGCAAGCATTGTTATCTTTAATTACCTTCATATAAGGAGTCATAAAAGCTTTATCCTATAGGCATCTGGCAAGCTCGTCAAGCTTCGTGACGAGGCATGTGCGCTTACACGTCTATTTTACGGAGAAAATTCAAGTGCGCATGCGTGTCGCTGGTTCACTGCGAACGCTAATTTTGGCCGCGAGGGTCTGCCACCAAGACTACTTATATCTGCACTTTGTTGCGTGTCTCAGCGCGACATTAGTGCCACTCACTGGGATTTTTTGCAGTTTTCCTTACATCCAATCATGGTTATCTGTGTAAAAAGTTTATTTTTTTTTTTATATTACTATTAGTTTTGAACACTAGATTATGAAAGCAAAAAGTAAAAAAAAGAGATAAAAAATTATTATCATTGGAATCAGCTGTCAATTCTTGGAGATTTTGAGACCTAATCGTCTCTGTGATTTATTCAACGACGAAGGTGTTAAGCGAGTTTTTTTCTACCATCTAACTCTATTGTGTAAAATGACCGCGTTTCTCACGCAACGTGGTTTCACCGTAAAGACACGGTCGAATAGGTCGGTTCACCTTAGCGCCACCATTTTGGGTCTAAAGCATAAAAAAGAAAGATAAAGGATTGCGTTCGCCATGATCATACTTACAGCTTCTACATTGCAATCGGTTTGCTCTTGTTTCCCTGTGCTATTTACTAATCTAACATTTGCGCTCTAAATGTCTAAATTGCGATAATAGAAATGATAAGTAAAATCTGACTGAATTAACGCATTGACGAAATACGCAGAATACTAAAGGAATGACGCAGAAATATTCCGCCGCGGTAACCAGACGAACCTAAACCGAAAGTCTATTGCATCTGTGGTTACGGGTCTAATATCCCGTTACACGCCCCAGAATTACTCTCTTCTCCTCTAACACAGAACCCGAGCGCCGCCACATCCCTCTTACGCCCACAACACGCCCCCTCAGAAGCAGAAGAGCCGAACCGGTTTGCGAGTAGCCCGGTATGAGGCGTGACGCAGCCTACCGTGCCCCGGTTCGCGTGTCTCCCTCCTCCTCCCCCTCCTTCCCGCCCCCGCCCACCTTCACCCGGCCTCTCTGACCTCTAGGCCATGGTTCATCCAGGTAAAAGCTTCCCTCGGGGGTTTTAGTGGTCTTCAGAAAAATATGTAGACGAGTTTTACTGAATGAAGAGACCTGATAAGAATTTTAGGTTAGTGAGAAACACATCGTTCATGACCGAATACTGCAACTGATACAACCTAATACGTCGTGATATGCCTTTGACATTCACAACATCGTTATCTTTATAGATTTTGAGCAACATAAAAAGCAACGAGAGAACTTTTCGATTTAAAGATTAGCTGATGAAATTCGAAGGAAGGGAGGAACAATGAAAACCCGATCACAGTTCACATCAAACATCGGCGCCCTTGTCCGGTCACCTTCGCTATAGCTACTGTTTATCTAGACGGCCACGGGACCTGTTAAAACAAGGTCGCTTCACGCTTTCTAGTGTCAGTCACCCACCATGTCTGCCGTGGGTCTGACGCCCTGGCTAAGTGGCTGCGCTGTTTTACCCTGGTGTCACTTGATCTCGGGATGTCGTGATCGCCCGTGAAAATTTAACCGGTGTTACACATGTCCGGGGCGGGGGTGGGGGGGGGGTCGACGTTGGAACTACTAACCATGATATTTGGAAAACGTTGATTCGTATGTTATTCTTTGAACATTCTTTATGCTTCGTGTGGAAGGTAAATTACAATTTCCTGAGGTTAATTTTTTTCACTAGTGATTAAGGGAAAACTTAAGTAGAGAATGACAAGGACTGTCTATGAAAGTACTAATAAGTCATGCAGGAGGAAGAATGAAGGCTGCAACTAATCCAGCCTTCGCGTGATAAACAACACCCTTGCTTCTCGGATGTAAACAAAGCCACGCGTTTTAATATCATTCTTTGCATACAAAGTAGTTCAGCTTCATACGATAACTCACATACTCATACGTGTATGTATGCGCGCGCGTGTATGTATATGTGTGTGTGTGTGTGTGTGTGTGTGTGTGTGTGTGTGTGTGTGTGTGTGTGTGTGTGTGTGTGTGTGTGTGTGTGTGTGTGTGTGTGAGAGAGAGAGAGAGAGAGAGAGAGAGAGAGAGAGAGAGAGAGAGAGAGAGAGAGAGAGAGAGAGAGAGATGTATGTATGTATATGTGTTTGTGTATGTGTGGTATGTGTGTGTATGGTGTGTGTATGTGTATGTTGTGGTGTGTGTGTGTGTGTGTGTTGTGTGTGTGTGTGTGTGTGTGTGTGTGTGTGTGTGTGTGTGTGTGTGTGTGTGTGTGTGTGTGCGCGCGATATATACACATAAATACATATAAACATATAAATATATAAATACATAAATATATATATATATATATATATAATATAATATATATATATATATATATATTATATACATAAGGTTTACTAACACTCCTTCGTGGACATATGAATACGCAACGGTTGTACGCTAATGCACACCGGCGTTGACTAAAGCTGAGAGGCAAAAACGACTATGATTCTAAATGCATTTGTCGACTACCTTTACTCAGGCTGCCATCAGTCAAACCACAAGCTGCAAGATCGTCATGTTAACTTACTGTAAGCTCGACCATCTCTCATTACAAATAAAAGGCTGTCATCGTGGTGATCACGGGTGGATTTCCCTTCCTTGTGTCTCACCATCACATGACTCTCTGGTGCTGATTCCTTTTCCGCTTTTCCCTCAACAGACACCTGGACGTCAGCGCTTGGTGCCTGACCTACTCCCCCCTCCGGCGCCGCCTGGCTGTCAGGACTTCCCTCCATGCTAACCTGGCTTTCCTCGTCCTCTTTCCCCACAATTGGCCTTCCAGTAGAGCTCTGTGACTCTCCTTCTACGTCTGTCTCACTAAGAAGACTCGTCGTCTCCTCTTTATCTCCTCGTTCCATTGTTGCGTGACTGTACGTCACTGAAGACTCTCCTACTGAGGTTATGCGGCTGTCAGGCGTTGAAATTTCTTCCTCTGAAGTTGTAAGACCGTCAGGGGATGCAAGATCTTTATCGTCAATTGTCTGAGCGTCAAGAGTTAGAGAGTCTCCAACAGAAGGAGCACGGCTGCCAGGTCTTGGTGACTCACTCTCTGTAGTCGTGTGGCTGTCAAGCGTTGACAACTCTCCTACAGAAGGAGCACAGCTGTCAGGCCTTGGTGACTCACTCTCTTTAGTTGTGCGGCTGTCAGAAGGTGAAGCCTCTTCTACAGAAAGAGTACGGCTGTCAGGCTTTGGTGATTCTGTCTCCGTACTCGTACATCTTTCAAGAGTTGAAGTCTCTCCTTCAGGAGCAGGACTCAGAGACTTTGGTGACTCGCCTCGGTAGTCGTGCAGCTGTCAAGGGTTGAAGTCTTTCCTACAGAAGGAGCAGGACTCCGAGGCTTTGGTGACTCCGCCTCGGTAGTCGTGCAGCTGTCAAGGGTTGAAGTCTCTCCTACAGAAGAAGGACTCAGAGGCTTTGGTGACTCCGCCTCTGTAGTCGTACAGCTGTCAAGGGTTGAAGTCTCTCCTACAGAAGGAGCAGGACTCCGAGGCTTTGGTGACTCCGCCTCGGTAGTCGTGCAGCTGTCAAATGTTGAAGTCTCTCCTACAGAAGCACGACTCAGAGACTTTGGTGACTCCGCCTCAGTAGTCGTGCAGCTGTCAAGGGTTGAAGTCTTCCCAACTGAAGGAGCAGGACTCCGAGGCTTTGGTGACTCCGCCTCCGTAGTCGTGCAGCTGTCAAGGGTTGAAGTCTCTCCTAAAGAGGGAGCACGACTCAAAGACTTTGGTGACTCCGCTTCCATAGTCGTATAATTATCAAGAATAGAAGTCTCTCTTTCAGAAGGAAAGTGGCTCCAAGGCAAGGGAGACTCTCTCTCTGCTGTCGTGTGGCTATCAGGAGTTGAAGCCTCTCGTACAGAAGGTACATGACTCATATGTTTTGGTGACTCCCTCTCTGTTGCCGTGGGGCTATCAGGAATCGAAACCTCTCCTGCAAAAAGAGCACGACTGCTAGGCCTTACTGTCTCTCTCTCTGTAGTCGTGTGGCTGTCAGGTATTGGGGAAGTTATGTGACAACTTGGAGTTGGAGCTTCATCTACAGAAACTGAATGGCTGTCAGTCATTAGTAATTCTTCCTCTGCAGTTGTCTGGCTGTCAGGCATCGGGGACTCCCTTGTTGGAGTTTTAGAGCTGCCAGGTATTGAAGATATACCTACAGAGGTTGTATGGCTACTAGCCATTGAAGATTCTCCTGCAGTCATTTGACTGTCGGAAGTTGGAGATTCTAAACCTGAACATCTTTGAGCTACAGACTCCTCTGTTGAAGTTATGCGGCTGTCAAGAGAGGGAGACTCTCCTTCAGAATAAACGTGGCTGTCAGGCAATGAAGTCTGTCTTTCAGTCGTATGACTTCTGGCAACATCCGGTATCAAAGACTCATACTCGGTCATTGTGGAACTGTCAAGAATTGGAAACTCTCCTGCAACTGGGATATGACGGTAAAGAAATAGAGTCTCTCCCTCAATAGGCCTATGAATGTCAAGAACTGGAGATCTTGATGGTCCTTCATGAACAATTTCACGAAGAGAGTTTAAAGTCCCTTCATCAACCGGGGTGTAACTATCAGATGCAGGTGATGCAGAGGGTCCCTCATCTGAGACCGAAGGTTCTCGCCCTCAAATGCACATATGCCGGCGGATGAACTATCACCTTCGAAAGAGGTATGACTAACAGACCTCGACGACACACTTTCAGTGACCGTTTGACTAACATTGGTGAGAGATTCATCCTCAAGGGACATGCGACTGCCAGGTGCAAGAGATTGTACAGAGGAAGGTGTATGAATGTCAGGGTCTGAAGACTCCTCCGTATCAGGCCTGAGGCTACCTGAGGCATACGACTCTTCTTCAATGGAAATGTAACTGTTAGGGATTGGAGACTCCCCTTCTCTAGTACTATAATGTTCAGAAACTAAAGACTCTACGTCTGCAGGTGTGTGAATGGCAGGGGTAGGGGACCTTCTCTCGTTAGTTGTGTGAGTTTCAGATACTGGGGATTCTGTTTCACCTGGCGTGTAACTGTCAAGGCTTGGAGGTTCCTCTAATATATGATCAACAGAAGCTGGAGACTCTCTTTTAAGTGTTATTATGCTATCAGTAATTACAGAGTCTCCTTCAGCTGTTCTGATGTTAAAGGAAATAAGTGATTCTGTTTCGATGTAACTGTCAAGCCCAGGCGCTCCTCCATCCGATGTGTAGCTGTCATGACTTTTTGTCTCTCCAGCAATAGACGCACATATGTCAGGACTTGAGGTCTCTCTCCCAACAGATAAGTAACTAATAGGACTTTTAGTCTCTCCTTCAGCAGATGAATAACTGCCATACATTTTAGTCTCTCTTCCAGTAGATGAATAACTGTCTTGACTCTTAGTCTCTCCTCCATGAAATGAATAACTGTCTTGACTCGTAGTCTCTCCTCCAGGAGATGAATAACTGTCTGACTCTTAGTCTCTCTTCCAGAAGATGAAAAAGTCGTGACTTTTAGTCTCTCCTTCAACAGATGAGTAACTGCTATGACTTTTAGTCATTCGTCCAGTAGATGAACAACTGTCATGACTTTCAGTCATTCGTCCGGCAGATGAGTTACTGTCATGACTTTTCGTCTCTCCTCCAATGGACGTAGAGTTGTCGTGACTTCCAGTCTCTCCCCCAACAGTCGTGAGGCTACCGAAACCGGAGAGTCCAGAACTGCCGTGTAGGTGTCAGATTTTGACGACCCTCCTTCAATAGTGGTGTGACTGTCAGACCCCGGAGACTCACCTTCACTTGACACATGGATATCGATGATCTGAGTTCTCGTAGTTATTCCCGACGGTGCTTTGGCGTCACGGGAGACCCCTTTTGCACCAGCGCTTTCCGTCGCACTACTGCTAAAGGATTTTGGGATTTTCCACTCCCCTGACCGCTTCCCCTTCTTAAAGGTGTAAGCCACTTTCATTTCGCTGATGAAAGTCTGAGATCCCTTCTTGTCTCCCTCCCTTTGGATCTCGTCGCCATTTCTTCTTCGTGAACATTCGCCTGTGTCTCCCATTAAATTTTCCAAACTGTCGGAACTTTGCGATCCCTTTGCACTTCCCCTTGCGAAGCCATCCAGACTGTCGAAGCTTGTCGCTTTTCCTTTTCGTTTCCTTGTGACACTGTCAAGGCTGTCGAAGCTTTCATCTGAAGTGTTGCCCTTTACTCCTGCAACCTCCTCAAGGCTGTCGGAACTCGCAGACTTCGCTTCCCCTATTCGACACGACAACCTTGAAACTGCAGGATATGGCAATTCTCTTTCTCTGTCGCTCATTATACTCTCCAAGCTATCGAATGTAGGCGACTCTCTCTCTCCCTGCTCCACCTGAACCTCTAAACTATCGGAACTTGGCGAGGCTCTCTCTTGACCCAGTCCAGCCTCCAGAATGCCAATGAACTCCGTAGCTGGAGACTCGATCTCATGTCTCAGCAAAGACAGCAGGCTATCCAGATTCGGTGATTCGGTGTCCTCTCTCTCCGATTCGTGAATGAGTCCTGCGATCACAGGCAAGCCTTCCCCCTCCACGACCAGCAGGCTGTGGGCGTGGTTGGAGATGTCCGCCGAGGCCTCATCGCCATTGCTGACCGGCCCACGGGCGTGGGTCGTGGAGGGTGGTGACCTCCCCTCCTCCTCCATATGTGATGTCTGTGGTGATGCCCGATGACCCTGTCTGGCACGGTCACCAGTAACAAATCATACACTTCACATTCACCTCACTATGACATGGTATTTACTGGCGGCTGGACCTCTCACGTGTAAGCCGCTTTTGTGCTGTGTTTGCTTTAACGCTTCTTTCTATGAACACGATTTCTTCTTGAATTGTTCCTTCTAACATTGTTGTTAACACACACTGGTTAAGCACGTTCTACACGCTTTCAAATGATACGAATAACTTTGCGTTTTCCTCGGCCTCTGATCTGGCAATCTTATATAAAACAGACAAACGCCTTAATATGAGAGCACCGAAGAACAGCAGCGACAACAAGCCTTGCCGTAACACACACCAGGCGACGCCGGGGTGCTGAGACGGTCCTGACTACACCAAGGGTAAGTGTTGACTGACTGCACGCAAGGCAACATAGCCGGCTTAGGGGAGGGTTTCCAGAGATGGGTGAAGTGATGGGGGAAGGGGACTCCAGGAATACGAGATGGATAAAGAGGCGTGAGCAGGGTGGGTGGATAGGGAAGAGGGGGAAGGTCTACGATTGAAAGATGTGTAAAATGCAGTCTAGTTCGGTATGTCTTGATTGTAGTTTCTGATAAATGAAGATATGAATAAACGCGGTAAATATGAATGGAAACGTATGATATATAAAATACATGTCATATGAAAAGAAAAGCAATAAAGCAAAGCGATAAACAGTATTAAAAAAAAACTTG